TTGCCACATCCACTCTGAACTGCACAGGGATGCCTCCTGACCCTTGTCACTCAGCCCGCCCTGTGGAAGCCTTCCAGTCCCCCTGCTCTGTGTGGGCTACAAGAAGGCAGGGGCACTTCTCTCTGGCAGGAAGTCAAGAGAGGCCCAGGGAGAAGGTGAAGGTAGAATCTGAGCCTGTAGGTGGGGTCATTTGAGACAAGGTGCTCGGCCTTCAGCCCCTCAAACCTGCCTTCAGGTGGACTGTCTGGCAGGCTCACACCTGGAACTTCCCTAGGAAGCCTCCAAACATCCCCCAGGCCTGCATGGGCACCCCCTTCAGTCCCTGCAGAGATCTCACATTCAGTTCCCGCCACAGGCTGTCCTGATGGCCACCCTAGCTCTGTCCTCGTCACAGCTCTGATCCTCCCGCAGCCTGCAACCCCCAGGATAAGGAGGGTCCCCCAAAGGGCAGAGGTCCCAGGCAGTAGTGAAAGGGCCCTTTCTCCCTCACTGAAGGGCCCTATTGTCCTGTGATTAGCACAGGACTTCTTTGTGTGGGGATAAGGCAGAGAGGGAGTCATAAAAGAAACTATGAGCTGACTAGCGTCTCCATTTGCTGTGAATCATAGCACATCCCTTAGATTCCAGATGATTCCCCCAGATTACCTCCTTTTCCATGTCCCCATCCTTTCCATGTCTTTAAAGGACTCAGTGGGGCCAACAGCGGGAGGAGGTCGAGGGGCCCAAGGTCAGTCTCAGGAAAGCATCAGTCAGGAGGCAGAGTCCCTGCTCTATGGTGACAAGACTTGGCACTGCAAGCCCCTCCCCTGCCCAGAGCCCTCTCAGCCCTGGGACAACGAAACTGTCGGCTACTCTCCCTGCCCCACGGTTGCTCCCACTGCCCGTTTCCTGGCAAGAAAGTGGGAGCAGAGAGGAAGCACAGTGCAGAGTCTCCGTGCACACTCCCGGGATCCAGGCTGTCTGGGATCAAATCCCCGCAGTGCCACCTCTGAGCTGTGCGACCCAGACGGGCCTCCTGGCTCCTCTGCACCTGTTTCGTCACCTGAAGAACAGGCATGACCACTGTTCCTCAGAAGGTCACTTCTGGAACCAACTGATTTAACTTAGGTAAGGCACTTAAAACATTGACTGACACATGGTAAGTGATATGTTGGCTATTATACAATTATTTATTTAAATATTCGCCTAAATGGGCTAAAGCCCTCATTTTGCCTGTAAATCAAGTAAAGGACTTTTAAAGTAATTTCAGCTGAGTGCAAAATAACATCTGCTAATACACCACAAGAGACACACCTACAATCAAATGATGCTGCCCCCCAGACAAAATATAAAGAGATCTGCAAAGGAGATGTAAAGATGCCCACACACAAATGTTTATTAAGTATGTGCATATATGTATGTATCCATGCATGTATGTATATATAGCAAATGAAAAAAAAAACAACCACAAAAAGGACTATTAGAAATATTAAGCAATAGAATTCCAGGCAATAAGCATGACAAAGAATTCTATTTTGTATTTCTATACATAAAAGCTAGCATTCACAGTGATGATGTAATAGTCATGAACCTTCATGCATTAAATAACATAATACTAAAATACACGAAGCAAACTGATTTGAGATGTCATTAAACTTAAATGTTTCTTCCTGCAGAAAACCTTCCAGAGCACCTCAAGTCTTCTACAGGACACTCCACTTGTCTTATCACATTTATAGTCAGTATTTGTAATTACCTGTTTTAGTGCCCCTCCTCCACTCCCCTAGAATTTATTTCCTGGAGGATCTAAGGCAATGTCTGTCTTGCTCATTTCTCATGTCTTCAGGGTCCAGCCTAATGCTCACCAGTTAGTGAGCCTTCAGTAAATGAGTTAAGTGCATGACAGATAGATACATATTCAATTCAATTATGTATCCCAAAGACAGAGTACACACATATTTTTTTCAAGTGTTGATGGATCCAGCATATATATAAATATTTGGCTAAAAGAAAAATAAATTTCAAAATGTAAGAACTGTACAGATAACCTTCTGTGGCCTTACAGCAAAAAGATAAATAAAAATGAAGGAACAAACAAAAATTCCAACCTGCCAGAAATTTAAAGATCACTTTTTGAAATTACTCCAAATAAGAAATCAAAACTGAAATGAGAAGCTATTTATAAAATATGGCATAAACAACAACAATCCACATAAAAATGTATGGGATGTGGCCAAGTTTGCACTCAGAGAAAAAAATGAGAGATTGAAATGTTTTCATATTTGAACAAGAAATAATTAAACTAAATGAAGAAAGCAGTCAAAGCAAGAAACTAAAAAAAGAACAAAATCATCCCAAGGAAAGCAGGAGGAAATGCATAAAGATAAAATAAAAATTAAGAAATTAGAAAACAGAACAAAACATAGAATTTACAAATGTATTCAAGAACGTGTTCTCTGAAAGACTAATAAAGTAAACATGCATATGGAAAGTTTAACATATAAACACATAGATAGAGTCCCTTCACATTTGCTTTTTAAAGTATCTATAAAATATTTAGGAATAAACTAAGGAATAATTCTGTAAAATCTATAGGAAGTAAACCATAGTATCTTGAAGAACATTCTAGAAGACCTAAATACACAGAGAAAAGGGAGACTCAGTATTTGTCAGCATACTAGCCTTTCCCAAATTAATAAGTGAATTTAATACAATTCCAATTACAAAGGGGTTTGAGGTCAGAGAGGCTGTTTTTCATAAGCTAGTATAAAATTTTCCTAGGAAAACAAAGGCATGAGAAAAACAAAGACAGTTTTAAAAATAGAATAATGTGGGAACTGGATGAGATGACAGGGGTCTCCAAGCATGTGACATGGGAACTGGGATGGAGAGTTGGGTGGGCAGGAGCTCACTGTCCTGGGTTCCCTGCACTCTGTCCCTTGCCCATCCTCACAGCCTGCCTGGCCAGACCCATACCCATCTGGTCTCCCCACAAAAATGCTTTGATTACCCCACAAGAATGCTTCACCAGATGAGGCCAGCATCCCTTCCCTGCCCCCACCTCACTTGGAATTATGCCAAAGATCTAACCTTTGGTACTGATCCTGGAGTCCTAAGTCAAGGTGTGATGCTGTAGCTGTTGCAATGAGGCCAAAGGGAAGAAAGACGTCTACTAAACAGAGCTGGGGCAGAGGCAGTCACGAAAGATGGGGCGGCCCCCTGACCTAAAGGATGAATAGGTAAATACGGGTCCGGACTTTCTCAGGACACTGGCATCAACACAAAGGAAGAAGCTACAGGGTGGTACCACCCTACACAGTGTGTGGCGAGCTCACAGCATGGGCAAGCCCCCTGCCAAGGCAAGTTGGCTCTCCAGCCAGGCCAGCAACAGGTTCCCCTCCAGCCCCACCACTGCCACCCCCACCCCCAAGGTCCCAGGCCCACCCACACGTGCATTGGAAGCATAGGAGCAGCCCTCTTACTACAGTCCTGACAATGAAGGCTTTTTTATTCAGCCCATGTAAGGGGCTGTTTCTGACATGAAGCCGAACCGTGCTCTTCTGAAGCATGCACCCAGCTGGCTAATGGTGGGGTACATCGGAAGAAGGACAGAACAAGTTCTCACCCCAGAAGGTGGCAAAGGACGCTTCAACCTGTGGCCAAAACGTTGGCAGCGAGGTGTTCCATCTGAATCCACTTAATTGATGAATTTTCATCAACTGGCATTCGGATGAATAGGATTTTATTGGAACAGCTCAGATGTTCAAGGGAGACGGGTACACACACAGTGCCATTTGGAACAGAACCTGCCAGGCAGTGAGGAAATGATGAGAGACAGGTGTTGATGTGCACTCCAGGCGGCCTCACACGTCCTTCTCCTGGAGCACATTGCTTGGCCTTTCTTGGGGTCAGGTGTGCCTCCCCACAGCCTTGACCCCATGAGAGAAGGAGCCGTGCCTCGTTCCCCGTGGAATTCCTCCAGTGCCCAACAGTGGGGGCCAGTAGGTGCCTGGCAAATATTTGTGGAAGGAAGGAGGGAGAGAAGGAAGGAGGGAGAGAAGGAGGGCCAGGAGGAGGGGGGGGAGAGGGGAGCACGCAGGCAGACAGCGGCCCTCTTCAACCAGAAATGGCCTGTGTCCACGCCCTGCGCAGTGGCTTTCTGAGGGCCCCACACAGCCCTTCTGCGTGAACAGGGGCCATACTTCCTCTTTACTTTCTGAGGATAATCTAATGCAAAACTGGCTTTTTCCTAAAACCTGGATCTTGGCAGCAGGCTGGTGGAGCTGTCAAGACGATGGCCTCTGAGCTGGCGTCTGGTTTCCCGCCCCAGCTGTCCTGGGGCAGCCGGTGACCTGGGGCAGCGGGCACACTGCTCTGTGGCTCTGGCCTGCCTGTGAGCTGCCGCAGGGCCTTTGGAGAACGAGTGGGGACCCTGGGCGCTGGCCCAGCGGGGGCCCACTGGCCCCCACCAAAGGGCAGGTGCGGCCAGCACCATCTCTCTGTGCTTGAGACCCCTGCCCCTGCGGCAGCTGCAGCCCAGGAAAGGAGCTCTGGCCTGGCGTCCTTGCAGAGAGAATCAGGGGTGCCCTCTGCCCTCCCAGGAACCTTCTGGAGAGCATCAGAGCCCCGGTCCAGGGGCTTCTCACAGGAAGGGAGAATACACTCCTGGGCCCTGGCGCTTTCCACAGGTGGTTGGCGGGGTCCTGAGCACACCTGGACTCGGAGGCCAGCCCTCCCGTCCCCTTCCTGCCTTCTCGCTGCCCCCAGCCCGGGAAGCCCTGGAGGAAAGACACGTGCCACACCTCCAGGCATCAACACAAAAAGTGGCAGCGCCACCAACAGCCGGTTCTAGGGGCACGTGGGTGGGGGGTGCCCATCCTGGAAACCAGTGCGTTTCCCGTTTCCCATTGTCATTTCAAACCAGCCTCAGAAAGGACAAGCTGTGCTGAGGAAATAGGCTCAGGGAGTGTTCCTCCCAGAAGCTCATCCCGTTCCTTCCTTTACACAGACCCGGGGGAAGGCTGCCCCTTCCAGCTGCCTGAAACGACAGATGTTGACCAGGCTGGTTTCAGGGCTGTGGCGAGGGCACCCAGCGAGATGTTCAACCCTTTGGAGGCCCAGAGAATCTTCTCTGGGCCTCCAAGGCCTCCCTGGTCAGAGCAGAAGTGGGATCATCGTCTCTCAGGTGAATCAATGAGAATAAGTAACACTTACACTGCATCTGATATTTTGAAAAGCACTTTTATGTCATAATTATTTGCTCAGGCCTCAGTTTCCCCTATGAGACTGTGACTTCCCTGAGGACAGACTCCTTGAATCAACCATCTTGCGACCTCATAGCTCAGCATCTTGTTTGGGAAATGGTGGGAACTTGGTAGGAATTTTATGTCAGTTCATTCACTTATGCATTAATTCATTGCTTCTAGCTCCACTATTGGTAGCTGAGCAGTGAGGCGGGGGGGCAGTGATAGTTAAAATGTATTGAGTAACTATTTATGCCAAATAATATGCTAGTGGTTCTGGAACTTAGGAATGGGGTCCCTAACCTCAAGGAGTCTACCAGGAGACAGGATTTACTGTCTAAGGTGCTAGAGCAAGGCACCTTGAATTTTAACCTGCACACAAACCATCATGGTTCGTGTTAAAGTGCAGATTCTCATCATCTGGGCTGCAGTAGACCCCCAGGGATCTGCGTTTCTGTCCAGCTCCCGGGAGCCCCCGGTGTGCTGACCTGCACACACTGTGACCAGCCAGGTCCTAGGCACCTAAAGGCCATAACCAGAGGTGAGGTTGCATGTCTCACCCCCTCCGCTACCACCCCAAACTTGGTATTTTCCTTTAAATCCACTCTCAGTATTGTATCCTAAATGTATTTAAAAGTAAGTTATCACATACTGCCTTAAAGGAAACGCAGCCATCACATTCCACAAATAAAAAATAACCCATAATCCTAAGTATGATGGAATTTTCTAAATGTGATCACCGCTGGTTATATATTCCCCACCTGAAGCTTTGGAGCAGGAGTCCTATTCTCTCTCTTTGCTAAAAAAGGAGATGAGCGCGTATTCGAGATGTATTAAAACCTATCAGCGCTAAGCTGACCTTTCTCCTTGAAGCAATGAGTTAGAGATGGAAAACGGAGTGAGGCTCTCACTTTGTGGTTCTCTGTGTTTGGAGCCACACCTGTGTGCCACGGGCAGCCCATGCTTCCGGAGATCCTGGATTTCACACATCCAAAGGCCACTCTGTCCAGCCCACACATGCTTCAAGCCCCCAAGGCCCTCAGCAAATTTCAGAGCAAAGCAACCGTGCACAGGGTAGGTTGACCAAGGGTGGGAAGAAAGCAAGACCAGACGCTGTTCGGCTCCAGGATGCCCATGTATGATCACAGCCTAGGAAAAGCAAGTCCAGGTATCAACCCCAACGCCCTCCCATCTCGGGTCCAAGAATCTCCCCTCCCCCACCCCACTGTAATTGCTTTCGCTAGACGCTGCCCACAGGCTGCAAGAAACGAAGTGACAAATGTGGAAATAACTGATGCTCCACAGGCCACAGAGACCTGGCTGTGTGACTTTCTCTTCTGTATTGTGACTCTGTCTGGGGAACCTACAGCGTTGGAGTAAATTATGGTGATGGCTATCAAGCCGTTGCTGCCACACAACAAAGAGAAGAGTCGCAGTATTGTCTGGGCCTGGACGGGTGTCTCCCATCACAAACAGAGGTGCACAGACCAATCCATTCGTGCTGAAGCAAGTGGAGTGACCTGGTGCACCTGCCCTCCCCGGGGCTCAGCCGGCAGAGGGGGCGCCCCTGCCAAGCTGGAGAGGCTGGCAGTCACAAACTCAGCTTACACAAAATGCAGATGCATGGTTCCCTCCCATCCCTTTCACGATGGAGAGGACATCTGTTTTTGCTTGCCCCCCGCAGCCATTTTTCCTCTGGTAAAAGGTTCCTGGTTGTCTTGGGGTGAGGCAGGGACCCACCCCTCCCCTTCTGTGCTGTGTGATTTTATGTGTCAGCTGGACTGGGCCATGGGTGCCCAGGCGTTTGGCCAAACATTATTCTGGGTGTGTCTCTGAGGATGCTTCTGGGTGAGATGAACCCTTGGGTCCTCCGACGAAGTGCGGCCCTGATGTGGGCAGGCCCCTTCCTACTGAGGGCTCAGGTGGAACCAAAAAGCAGAGAGGGGAAGGTGGAATCCATTCTCCACCTGGCTGTTCCAGCTGCGACATAAATCTCCCCGTGGCCTCAGGGCTCCTGGTTCTGAGGCCTTCAGACTCAGGTGGAATCTACACATTAGCTAGGCATGGGCTCTTGGGCCTTCAAAGGGCCCCACTGGCTGTCCTGATCTCTGCTTGCACACGGTAGAACCTGGCACTTCTCAGTCTCCATAATGGCATGAGTGAATAACTTACAATAAATCTCTTTACATTATATAAACATATATACATGGTACTGTTTCTCTGACTAATACAGCCTGCTTGGAGAGGGCTGGTCTAAGACACCTTGCAAGCCCAGGACTCACGTGGTGTCAGGAACATGGTCGATGCTGTGTAATCATTTATTCAGTGAATAAACATTTCGAGAACACCACTTTTGACCCCACTGACAGACACCCTGGTTACTACAAACCCACCACCCACATGCACTAAATTAACCAGAAGGCCCCCAAACTCCCTTCACTCTCATTGTCCCCTGATTTTTTAAGGGTCAGCTGGAGTCAGGAATGGCTACAGCCAATTTTTGCACCATCTAAAGGACTGAGCTAACATCCTTTAGAAATAAACTAGGACAGTATTTTCTTAGCATTTCTCCAATATTTTTTTAACCACCGCTCTCCCTTTTTCCCTTTTGCTTTGATTTGGAGAGAAAAGCAGACGCACTAGGAGCCTTGAAGCACAAGTCAAACTCCAGGGCCTGATTTCAAAGCAGGCATCAAACCCTTTAGCCTCCTTTTTGGCTGCCAAGTAGAAACTTCTGACTCTCTAAGACAAGCCCAAAAGGCAGTGGAGGCCCCGTTGCTAAGAAAAATGACAGGTGAGTGACTCTGCTTTGAGCTCCCTGAAATCTGGAGGCTCCCAGGGTGGGCTGTACGTCTGCAAATCACAACGCGGAGGTTATGGTGCTGGTGGGAGCAGGCTGTAGGTTTGATTGACTCAAAATCACTAGGCGGAGAAAGGGTTTCTAAACTTTTACCCAGCTGGCTGCCTTTTTCCTCATCTCTTTCTCCCCATGAAAGTAAAACAGATCCTGAGAAGTGAGATGGGGACTGAAGTTTACAGTGACCAGGAAGAGATTAGCATTTCACGAGAAGAAATGCAGACTGAGAATTCTTCCAAGGTGGACGGAGTCCAAGTCAAGAAAGAAACTGGCCTATTGCAGTTCATTTGCCTTGGCAGCCAGGCAGGTGGTGTCACGGTCAGGGAGGTGGACCTGAGAGAACGGGGAGAGTGGGGACAGCTGTGGGGACCAGGAAGCCCAATCCCCATTCCACGTGGACCCACACAGCTCAGACAATTGTAGCTCTGGCACTGTCAGAGCTCTTGATTTTTTGGAAGTTAGATATCTATATTCTACCTCAAATCTGCAACACTGAGACCAAATTACAAATTGCAGAAAGCAGAGTGCAGGCACCTGGCCCAGGGCCTCTCAGACTGGGTTGTGTCCTCAGGCCAGATGTTAAGGATTTGGCACTTGTCAGCAGAGGGGTCCTGAGGCTGCGTGCAGGGGCCCCATTTCTCATTAACTCCGGCGTGGGGTGGGGGTGGGGCGGGACAAATCGCAGTTACCTCTGTCATTGAAATAAGTTCTTGAACAAAAAGTACCGTGACCAACACATCCCAGTTTTAAAATTGAAAATCCTATTTCCCAGAACCCCTTGGATCCAGGAAACCAGGACAGTTGGTCTCCCTAATGAAGAGAGACTCAGTGAGCCGACTGGTTGTGCTTCCATGTGGGAGCCCATTAGTTAGACCCTTTGGGGACGAACTGGTCAGCAGTGGACACTAGACCCCAAATGAGGACAGACTGTGACGATGTACAGCCACCGAGATTTAGATCTTCCCGGCATGTGGCCCACACTGACACCCAAGGCCTCCCTCCCCTCTTGGCCAGCAGTGGCTGGAGTGCGGGCAAGGGCCCCACCGAAGTTACAGCCGCTAGATTCCCTCCCCCAGACCTCGGCCTTGGTGCACAGGGGCCTCCATGGCCTCTACTGGCTGACTGAAGACAAGTGTGAACAGGAACCCTGGGGTGGTCAAGTGCTCAGGTGAAGGCACAAAGCTGGTGTCAGAGGCTGACGTGTGTCCCCCCAAACTCATATGTTGAAATTCTAACCCCCAGTACCTCAGAATGTGACCGCATTGGGAAATAGGGTCTTTAGGGAGGTAACTAAGTTAAAATGAGGTCACTAGGGTGGGCCCTCGGCGGCTGACGTCCTCATCAGAAGAGAGGATTAGGTAGGACAGAGATGCACACAGAAGAAAGACCACGTGAGGACATGTGACATCCGTGAGCCAGGGAGGGAAGCCTCAAAAGAAACCAGCCCTGCCAACACCTTGATCATGGAGTTCTGGCCTCCAGAACTGAGAGCAAAGAAATTTCTCTGCTTTAAGCCCCCCTTTCTGTGACCCTTTGTCATGAAGCCCGAGCTGAAGACTCTAACTGGCTTGAAGGGGAGGCAGAGATGGGGGCATGGGCTCCGGCAAGGAGAAGCTGCCCCAGCTCCTGGAATGTCTTGGTTCCTGATTCTCAGCCTCCCTGGGGTTTGAGTATTTCCTGGTCATCAGATCTCAGGGGTAAGAAATTCCCGTTTTTTGCTGAAGCTAGACAAGTGGATTTCTGTAACTTGCCATCGAAAAAGCCTTAACCCCATAATTTGGTTTCATGATTCCAGTCTTACCAGGAGGCCTTATTCCTATGAATGTCCTCAGCCCATCAGAAAAGGGAAATTTAATGCAAAACACTTCTGTGGTAGGCAGAAAAGTGGCCCCCAAAGAGGGCCTAGTGCATGAAACCTGTGGATATGCTTCCTCACATGGCAGAAGGGACTTGAGATGGGATCAAGTTGGGTGTTTTGAGGTGGGGAGGTGATCCTGAATTATTTCTAATTATTGAGGTAAACCCCATGTAATCACAGAGGTCTAATAAGGAAAGAAGGAAGCAGAGAGTCACAGAGACAGACCTGAAGAGGCTTCGCCACTGGCTTTAAAGATGCAGGGAGGGGCCACACGCCCATGAATGCAGGCGGCCTCTAGAGGCTGGAGAAGTGAGTGAATGGACTCTTCCCCTAGAGCCTCGGGAAGGAACCAGGCCTGCTGACACCCTGACTTTGACCTCCAGAACTATAATAAATCTATGTTTTTTAAGCCACTAAGTTTGTATTAATTTGTTAGAACAATAATAAGAAACTAATATACCTTTGAGTATTGTCCATAAGCTCAGGCCCTGAGCTTGCTGAAAATTCTTATTTCCTTCTCCCCAAAACTACTCATGCTGAAGAAAGGTCAATAAAAGAATGTACCCCAGAGTCAAATTCAACCAGAATCCAAAACAAAATGCAGTTAATGGGAAGCACAAACCCTCACAGTCGTGTGACTCTTCAAAAGCAAATTCCCCATCCTTTCTCGAGCTGTTCCCTGCACTCAAATGGTTTATTTGATAGTGCATATGGTTGGCGAGCATTAGGGATGTTGGAGAAGACCCATAGCTCTGCCTTGACCTCCCACCTAGGTCATGGACCATCCGGGGCCCCCACTCCAGCCAGGGAAGAGCACATCAAAGGAACTTCAATCCCAATGCAAGTAGAACAATGGAAGGGTGCAGGCAGCCTCTCCAACAGCCGATACTTGGCTTGTTCTAACCCCAGTCTCCCAACAAGTCCCCCACCCCCATGCTAAGTGACATTGTGGGTTAGTGGAGGGGCACTGCTGGAGAGATGCTATTTTGCCGACGTCTGTGCTGTGGGTACAGTCACAAACCCCTCCGACTGGAAAAAGCAGACAGCTGGCTCACATGTGCCAGCTCCATCTGCTAAATCATTAAAACTGAGTCTTGGCAGAGTTTGCAGAAAAACACATTTGTTTTCTCCATAAAGAGGAAGAGTAAACTTTCCTGTCATCCTCATAAGTTTATGCAATTACTTTAATGTGCAAAGCACCTTGTACAAAGGCAGGAAGCTGTTACACAGGCCACGGGGCCGAGTTGCAGGCTTTCATTAAATTACATTATATGTTAAATCATGTTTGCTAGCTCTAGTGGCTTAACCATCACTGCACAGTAATTAGGCACATTATGCCAAAGCTCACAGCGATGTTCAGAGTCTCAACAGTTTGCCTTTCATGTGAGCTAATGCACGTCAAGGGGTAACAGCCCACATGGGGGGCTCCAGGACAGTCATTCAGAGAACACAGATGGTCTTGGGGATGGGAGAGGTATGATTCACACATAGCCCTGGCATCACCAGGAAAAGAGGGAATGAGTCCACGAAGTCTGAGGAGTAGGGATGCCCCAGCTTCTGAATCCAGAGAGAAACCTCATTTCCATACTGTTAATGTGTGATAGAGAATCTGTCCTAGACTTCAGATTATACACACACCAATCATATTCCTAATGCACCCCCACTGTCCCCCAAAATGGAGCTGATGGGAGCTGTTCAGATGGCCGGAATGTCCACCCTGTCACTCAGTAAGTATGTGACTCTCTGAGTGCCAAGTTTTCCAATGTGGAATGGGTGTAACAATAATACCTCCTCCTCGGGCTGTGCAGAGAAGTCAGGGAAATAATATATCCAAAGGACTTATCATGGTGCCTGTCTCATAAATATCAATTAAGACTACTATTATCATTTCGTTGTGACTATTAGACACTTTCAAAGCTTATATCACCCTTTCCCATGCAGCCTGGCCCTCATTCCAAACCTGGTACTGTCATCTGTGAGACTGAGAGCAAATGACAGTTGTGGGCCAAATCCTGCTTGCCCCCTCTTTTTGTACACCTGCTGAGATAAATACCAGTTTTTACAATTTTTAAAGGACAGAGAAAAATCAAAAGAAGATTATTATTTTGTGATGTGTGGTAATTAAATGAAACTCAAATTTCAGTGTCCACACATAAAGTTTTATTGAAACATGGCCACGCCCATTCATTTATGTACAGTCTATGCTTTTTACTAGAACAGCAGAGGTGAGTAAATTGCAACAGAGATGTGGGACCCGTAAAGTTGAAAATATTTACTATACATTTCTTATAGCAAGTTTGCTGACCCACATTCAAGGGAATAAAACCACTACCTTCGGAAATCTTGGCCCAATCTCACAGTTGATGTTGAAAATCCCCAAGACCCTAACCAACTAGGATGTGAGAAGCAACTAGAAAGACAGGTATTTTCATTAGTTCAGTTTCATTTCAAACTAAGACGATGCCAAGAGGGACTATGCTTGGATTCACAGGAGGGATCCTGGCACTGCGACCATGTTTTAAACCCAGCTTTGCCACCCACAGGCTGTGTGACTTGGACGGGTGAGCCAAGCGCAGTAAGGTCTCTACTGGAAATTGGGGTATCAATCCCTCTGGCACAGGGTTGCCATGACAAGTGAAACAATTGGCACCCCCCACCACAAAGGAACACACACTCTGCTGATGAATGAAATTTGTTAGCTCCTTCTTTCCAGAGATTTTCCTTGTGGACTGTCAAAAAGGAAAACATACCAAAAGAGAAATATTTTTCTTTGATATGAAGCATGTCTCAGGCTTCCAGTTTCAGCTCCAACATGTAAACAGCCTGGAAGTCGTCACTCTCATCCCTGCAACAACAAAAACTGAACGAACTGACCATCAGTGATTGTTCTTGGACCCATCAGAAAACTGTATTTTCAAAATAAACTACCACTTTGAACTCTGAAAAGACTGATGAATCCAGAGTCACAACTGGGCTGTGCTTATGTGGAACAGAAGCTGCAGAAGCCATTAGGAAGAGTTAAATGCTGATTTTCGTGAATTCCTAAAGGCTGAGAGTGAGAAACTCCTGGAGGCAGCAGCCTTGTTGGGGTCGGGGGTTGGAGGGGACACCAATTTCAAGGTCTTTATCTCTAGGAATGCCACAAGGTTCTTACTGTGAAGACCTCTTTCTGGCTTCCTTGGTGAAGGAAAACCTAATACTTGTAAAAAATAACATCAGAGCCTTCCCACTCAGGCCTACTCTACAGGGGAAAGACTTTGCCGGAGACTTATCCCCACTGGGGGAAGGGTATCCCCCTTACTTCAACCCCCTCTGGCCTTCCTGTCTCCCCCAACAATAGGGGTATGGGTGAGAAACACTTGTGTAGGTCTCAGGCCAGACACACAGGCTCACTAAAAGGCAGATTTAACCTGATGATTATAGAACACTCCCTTCCCTGACTCCCACACCAACAGGACTCCAGTACATTAGCAGTGCATTACAGCTGAAAGTTCTAAGACACCGGCTCTCTCTGAGGAGGAGGATTTAGAGAAGTTCAAAGTCAAGAGGGAATTAAAAAACAAGCTCTCTAGAGGAATCAGAAGCCTCTGGCGCCCACAGCTACAGCAGACATGAAACACAGCCCAACTCTGAGCCAGATTAACATAAATGCTCACACTAAAGGTCTGTTTACCTCAATATCCATTACTTGATGCAACATGTCTGGCTTGGAACAAAAAATTATGAAGTGTGCCAAAAGAAAAAAAATAGTCTGAAGAGACAAAGCAGGCATCAGAACCAGACTCAAGATATGACACAGATGTGTTTGTCATCAGCAGGAAATTCTAAATAATTATCATTAATATATTAATAAAAATAGACAATACACAATAAAATGTGAATAGAACCAGTGAAATAAAAACTCTAAGAAATAATCAAAAGGAAATGCTCAAGATCAAAAACACTCTAATAGAAATGAAGAATACTTTTGATGGGCTCATCAGCAGACTAGACACAGATGAGGAAAGAATTAGTGAGCTTGAAGATACAACAGTGGAAACACAAGGACATTAAAGAACAATTGAATAAGCAGGAAAAATTAGAAAGTGACTGTGCACATGCCCAGGGACAGGGTCAGAAAAGACCCTCAAACATAATGAAAGACTGAAAGCTTTTCCTTTAAGATCAGGAACAAGACAAGGATGTCTGCTTTCACCACTTCTATTCAAAATAGTCCGTGAACTTTTAGCCACAGCAATTAGACAAGAAAAAGAAAGGGATCCAAATGGGAAAAGAAGAAGAAAAATCATCCCTTTTCACAGATGATATGATTTTATTTGTAGAAAACCCTTAAGATTCCTTGCAAAAATTGCTAGAATAAATGAATTCGGTAAAGTAGCAGGATACCAAACCAATGAACAAAAATTAGTTGCATTTCTTTACACTAACAATGATCAAACTGAAAATGAAATAATGAAAATAATTCCATTTGCATAGCACCAAAAATAATGAAATATGAAAAATTAAATCAGTAAAATTTTTAAATTTTAAATTTTTCTTAAAAAACAATGAAATACTTAGGAATTAACTTAACCAAGGAGGTAAAAGACTAGTACAATGAAAACTATAAAATATTACTGAAAGAAATTTGAGACATACATAAATGGAAACATCCCATGTTCATTGATTAAAAAATGACATTGTTAAGAGGTCAATACTACTCAAATCAATCTACAGATTAAACGAAATCTTTACCAAAATTCCAATGGAATTTTTTTGAAGAAATAGAAAAAACCCATCCTAAAATTCTTATGGAAATCAAGGAAACCCAAATAGCCAAAACAATCTTAAAAAAGGAAAAACAAAGCTAGAGAACTCACATTTCTTGATTTCAAAACTTACTACAAGCCTAAATAATCCAAAGAAGTATAATACTGGCATAAAGACATGCATATGGACCAATGGAATAGAATAGACAGCCCAGAAATAAACTTTCATGTATCTAGTCTAATGATTTTTTGACAACAGTTCCAAGAACATTCAGTGGGGAAAGGGCAATCTTTTCAATAAATGGTACTGGGAAAACTGGATATCCACATGCAAAAGAGTGAATTTGGACCCTAAACTAACACCATATAAAAAAAATTAACTCAGATGGATCAAAGCCCTCAGTGTAAGACCTAAATCAATAAAACTCTTAGGAGAAAACATAGAATAAAATCTTCACAACACTAGATTTGGCCATGATTTCTCAGACACGATGCTTCTGAAGACAGTGGTAACAGAAGAAAAAATAGACAAATTGGACTTTATGAAAATCACAGCCTCTCAGGAGGTCTGCCACCCCCAGTACCTTCCCAATCTAGATGTTCAAGTGCATGCTGTATATTCACAGAGAGACACAGACATACACAGAGACGTGC